ATATATAAAAGACTGTTTTTCTAAGTAATCTAGAATCTAGCTGCAAGGACCCGCTTTGCTGGGCAAAAAGTAACGATAGTGAAGATTAAGATAATTACATTATAGCTAATCTTACCCGTTTTCACAGAATGCAAGAATTAGGTCCTCCATTTCCAGACTAATTAGAGAATTTTTATGTCCAGTCAAATGAACTATTTTCAACGTTTCTGGAACGTTTACAATCGTTCTATAATTGAACCAATATTCAAGTTTTATGTTCGAATTAAATTCGAACAAAACATTCGAAATAGAAAGCCACTTTCAACCACTTTCAGCCTCATATCTCCCACACCATTATAGCTATCGAGATGCAACCACCCTTATGCACGAATGGAGATTTGGGGCTACCACCGCATACAAACACCATTCACACGAGATCTGTAGTTTTTGCGGAAAAGTGAAATATAGGGACACACACGTCCATTTTTATATATATATATATATAGATTATACAGATAATACTGTAACATAAAATGGATTTCTCTACAATATAATTTAAAAAAAAAAAGTAAAGCAAATAGATTAAAATGATAATGTCATCCACAGTTTTGTTTTTATTAACAAAATGGTGGAAAGTAAGATACTTGTGTGTAAACAAACTAAAACATTAAAATAGTATTCTATCCTTATCATGTAAATGTACAGTCTTTAAAAAGAATGCTGTCATTTTAAATTACTGTAATTATGTTAATTATTATTTTGTGTGACACATCCATCCAGTACTGAAATTCTACATGCTACAGCATATACATTGTCACACCTTCCCATTGTCCATGGCAACCGCAGTTCTACAGCTGCACATTACTCACTTCACGCACTGATGAGTAATTCTAACTTTGCAAACTACAGAACACAAAACATTTGCTCTGTTTTTGAGTCACTATTTTCATTTATAGTGCTTTCTAGAGGTAGTAGTAGAAAAACAAGGTGTTTGCAGACCAGAAATGAAACTTGGATGGTTATTCTATCAATTGTATACATCATATGCTTCTCAGATAATAATCAATTTAATTACAGTATGTTAAAATGGTAGCATTCATTTTGAAAGAACCTACATGTAATTTCAGTTGCCGAAATTCACTTAGAATGACGAAAAGAGCATTAAAATTATCAAGTCAATGAGACTGACTAACTACTTATCAAAAATAATTTTAAACAGTTTGTCTTTTGTTGGACAAACTAAATATGTAATTACATTAATAATAATAGTTAAAATAAAATTTTTTCAAGCTTAATATGGATAATATCTAGTATAGTTGAGAGCTACCTGGAATCAAAATGAGTTTGAGTGGCAATGTGGCCAGTATGGTTCTTGGCAAGAATGATTACCCTATCAAGTATAGATTAAATAAATGGTAAATAAAATAATTTTCATTAACACCATCACTATGTAGAAAGGGAAATACCAGAAATTTATCATCTTTAAAGATACAACTAAGTAGGAATATTTAATAATAGTAATTGATACATGAATTAATATAGAAAATGAGAAATTGAAAGGTGAATCATATGAATACATGTCTTTGACAGTTTTTAGAAAAATTACAATAGCAGTTGAATATATGCAGAATATAAAGGATTTTTTCGGGTTTTTTTTAAAGATGCTCTTTTTAAGTTTAGATGAAGGTTAGATTAGCCGTCGGATAGGTTTGTAATTGTAATTAAAACATGAAAAATATGTACCTGCTTTCAAATTGATTTCAAAAAACACACGGGTTATTTCAGGAAATTATGGTAATAAAAACTAAGATAAAAGATATTTTTTATGTTTTTTAAATATTATACATTAGATTTCAGATCTTACCATGTTAATATTATCTCAACTCTGAATTCAGATTGCTAGAAAGAATAAAAATTTTCTTTCTTACAATAATCTCTAATCCTTTTCAAGACTTTTAACTCATCTACAAGGATACAATGTATTTCATGAATTTTGGCTGAGCTGCTGTGATGTGTAGTAGCAGAGGTGGGTCTAAGCTAGTATGTGAGGGATATGGATTATATGAATTTAACAATATCTGAAATATATCTCAGGTTGGTGGAGCATACTTTCATTCAAATGGAACCCATGGAGTATCTAATGCGCAGCTTCCAGCTAAGATTTAAGAAACTCTAGAATTTGTAGTCATTGCAATCTTGTTTTTTTTTCTTTCAGTTTGATATATCATTCACTATGATATACAAGCAGTATAGAAGTATATGAATATATACACGAGAGGGAGATTGAGGAGGAAAAAGCATACCGCAGAACGATCATATTTTTATACCAGTAAAATCAGTACTTTAGTATCTACAGTGCTACAGTATTTTAGTATCCAGTTAACAGATTAAAGTTTACCAACATTTTGTTTCTTCCAAATAATTACAAATCAGCTATATTTTATTTTGCTGCAATGTATCTAGTATCTTAAAATTAATGTGCAGGTGTAGCTTTTGAGAATGGGATCAGTTAAAAAATAGTTCAAATATGAATTTGCATTGCACAAAAAAGCAATTACCCATTCTAGTTATAAAGTACACTATCTTGTTTCTCTCTTGAATAGGAATATTACAATCTTTTTGCAAATAATTTTAGTGAGCAGCTGCTTAAATTAAAAAATTTAGCTCAATAATATCATTTACAGTTTATCATACTTTTTAAAATAATATATATTTTTAAGTAAATCTTAAAAATCTTTAATATAAATTTAATATTAAGCAGGCAATTTTCAAGTGATGATTCTTTTATACAGGAATAGTGGAGAGTATGGCTGCAGGATTAATCATGGTGGCACATTGTTCTGGAGGTCCAAAAATGGACATCGTTAAGGATTTCGAAGAAGGACGCGTCGGATTTTTGGCAGATGACGAAGAAAGCTACGCCGAATGCATCGTAAACATTCTAAAAATGTCCATCTCGGAAAGAACAAGTATTAGTCAAAATGCTCGTAACTGGGTTAAGAAATTCTCCAATACAGAATTCGAAAAATTATTTTTATATTCTGTACAAAATATATTTATAAAATAAATTTGTGTACATTATTTCCAATAAAGTTTATTTCATTTTTCATATAATTTAATAACATTTTCTAAAATAATAATTATAATTAGCTTCTTGAAAAGTGGATTTAAAATAAGTTAAAAATTTCACATAACATGCTTATATTTATGATTGAAACTTTCATAAATTGAGTTTACCCATTTGCTGTCCAGGCTTCAGTTTAAAATATAATGAAATATATTTGCCTAATGACTCTTAAAAACTGTTAGCAACCCCAAGGTGTTAGTCAATCAGGTTGGGGGACAGCTTAAATTATTATTTGATTTTCTTATTGCTTTGACATATTTATTTTGAGGTTGACATCACTTTGCATTTATCAATCCTACAATTTAGATTACTTGTGATAAATATAAAAATTGAATTTAAATAAGACTACAATTAGTGAAAATTCTAGTTTTATTCACTCTGATATGTAATTATAACTGCTGGATTTATTTGTTGTAATTCATTATTGTTTACCTGTTGTTTTTTCCAGTAGTTCATTAATAAACAGCTCATATTCGTAATGTTTTTGAAATTCGTTAGATCTGTGCTGCACACCACGACGAAGTATTTGTAAAGCTTCTTCCATCTGAGCATTTGTTGGAGGGTCTTCTGAACTATCTTCTTGTTGAATGGCTTCGTTTTCATCAGCTAATCTTCCGGGGCCTGATGTAAAAGTTTGGATTACTTCTGATGATATTGTAGTTGACACATGAATTTCATCGTCAATGGCTAACCAGTTTTTAAACTCTTTTTTTGACATACCCTCTGGTGGGTTATCCATGATTTCATCTCTGATAGACTCGGTTTCATTTGCAGATGTTTTCACTTCTGTTTTAATAAAGCCAGCCTTTTTAAAACAGTTTTCAACAGTTCTCTTAGATACTTGCTTCCAACACATTGTCAAAAGATGTAGTGCATCAAGGAGAGAAATCCTTTTAGCAATATCATTCGCATCAGTTTGTCTTCGAGTATCTTCTAGTTCTCCTAAAATTCTTGTATATATTATTCTTCTGTAGTAAGCCTTAAGGCTATGTATGATTCCCTGGTCACATGGTTGAATAAGTGATGTGTTTTCAGGAAAAAGAATTACTTTTATGTTTCTTAATGGCGCATCATTTACTGACATGTATGCTGGGCAGTTGTCTACCAACAAAACAATTTTTCGCTTTAGCTCTCTATCCCATTTAACTAACCAGTTGTTAAAAATAGTGGTCGTCATCCAAGCATCTACACTCCAGCAGTAATCCACAGGTAAATGTTTCACGCCCTTAAAACAGCGTGGATTTTTAGTTTTTCCAATCACTAAAAGTCTTTCTTTCTCACCCGACATATTAGCACAGCAAAGAACTGTAACACGTTCCTTGAAAGAGTTAAATCCTTTGGCACCATGTTTAAACATAAAGTTACTGTTGGGCATTGCACGAAAGTAAAGTATCATTTCACTCGCATTGTAGACGTTCTCGGGCGAATATTCGGCAGTAATTTTCGGCCACTCTGTCTTAATCCATAACTGAGTAGCTTTTTCGTTTCTGCAAGCAATGTTCTCTCTCTTTTTCCATCTGCTGAGCCACCCACCTGTTGCAATGAAATCTTCTCTTCCCATTTCTTTAGCTAGCTCTTCTGCTTTTTGACGCAATATGAGTCCATTTATGGGTGCATTCTTTTTGCAAACATCATGAAACCAAAGCTTTAAAGCTAATTCTACTTGACTATATTTACTTGTTCGATTCCTCTTACGAATTACATTCTCGTTTCTTACTGCCGACAATTCGATGTTGGTTCTGTTTTTCAAAATCTTGCACAGAAGTGGCTGTGAAATTTTTAACTGTGCAGCAGCTTTTCGTTGACTCATTGTTGGTAACTTATCGTAGCGTTGTAGAATTTCTTGCTTTTCTTTCAGAGACAAATCTTTGCGCTTCTTTTTTGTTTCCGCCATCATAGATTAACACGGCAGTCTTCAACAACAGCTGTCGTATGATTTAAGTAAAGAATGCCAGTAATTTTACCTTGTACTGAAAGCAGATATCGGTTAAAACGTTACAACACTGTATCAAGATAACAGCTAGTAACTGATAAGTGCGTTATCAGCCACATGTTTAGTCTGATAACAAGAATACAGTTTAAAAATTTCATTTGTGTGAATATAATAACTACACCCGAAATTCTGATTACAAAAAGCGAATTATTTTAACTTAGCTTGCCCGTTAAATTTAAGTTAATTTTTAATAAAATTAAAAGGTTTATAACAATATCCGTGATTACAATAAGCGGACTATTTGTATATAAAGACGTTCGCTTCAAGGTCATTTAGTAAGTCACTTTAACAACATGGCTGCCGATATATAATAAGGTTGTTGGGTCGCTATGGTAATCGCCTGTTATTTTCGTTCTAGAGACAACCGCTTCGGATTGGGCGGCGATCCGATCGTTCGATAGGCACAAGGTTTTTAAGACACGATACCGTAATGCATCGCGGCAGTCGCCATATTGGGGATCTTTTGGCGTGTACTAAAGTGGTTAGAAAATATAGTGTCAAAAGCTCTTATGTTCCTCCATTATAACAGTTGGGTCCATACATCGAGGTTAGTGACGTCACAGAAAAGGTCAATCGTAGTACGACTTTCGCTATGGCTACACTACGATTGACATCAGCGAGTGGAAACAAGTGAATGGTGAAGAAGTTATTATCTCCCGTGATGTTCCAATACCGTCTGTTGATGTTTTCCTACGAAGTTTGAAGGCTACCCAAAGTATTATAGTAACGTTTCACTGCCAAAGAAAAGATCAAACAGAAATTTAATTAATAACACAAACAAGAAGAAGACGGTCAACCCTCCTCTTCTCTCTTCAGAGGAATTAGATATCGAGCCGGAATTCTCCTCGGCATCTTCCTCATCTTCATCCCTTCGGCTTCAAGATTTTGAAAAGCTAAAAGTGCCGGATTTCTGGATAAGGTGCCCTTTAAAAAATGAATCTAATTTAATTGTGTATGCAGAAAATAAGACAATAGGACAATAGTGCTAGTCTAAATGCACTAAAGTTGGGTCCATACATTTGCCCAGTATTTTCGTGCAAAGTATATATATCGACGGTGTTCAATTTGAAAATATTTCACCAATTTTTTCTTTGCAGAAAGCTGAGGATATTATTCAAAATACAGATAAGTTGAAAATACGCAATGGTGCCAGAACTAGAATCAAACATTTTGTTTGGCTTTAAATATATGAAAAATTTTGTAGTTTTTTTAGCAAATATGAATAAACGTTATTAATAATAATAAGAGTAGATTACTCTTGTACTCTAACTAATATTTGTTTGTACAGTACTCTACAGTTGTAATGTAAAAATAGACAATACAGTTTAGGCTATTTGATTTAAAAAGAATCGTAATTAGCATTAATCGAATTCCTTCGTGTATAAATGTTAATAATTGTAGTACAACGATTGCGGTAACCGACACTATATTTTCTAGTCACTTTAGTGTGTACGGTGTTTCTAGAGCGAAGCCGATTGTTTCTTTTGATCTCAATTAGTTGCATATTTATGAAATTAAAATAAATTCAAAATTTATCTTTTGTGCGAAACAACACCGAAACAATTTCTATAGTTATGTGACAGAAGATAAACAGGAATTAACAATGACTTGCCCCCGTACAACATTGAATCGTTAAAGCAAGTCATCAAAGAATTGATATGACTTGTTTTAATATAAAAAAAACTTGTAAAAATGCTAGAATAATGCCTTTTAGGCGATAATAAAGTGTTTATATTTTTGCAACGGAATATATAAACTGGCAAGAAGTACAGTACGTTCTCATAAATATCACGTTTATAGAAAAAGTAATAGAATTAATTTAATGTATATTTGGTTACGACAACGCGACACGTGAGCGATCTGCCGAGAAGACTTTTATGGGAAGCCGGACCCTATTTAGGCGTTACAGACGTGGAGAAAACCCGAAAACTCCCCAGGGCCAGCTCGTTGGCCATGACCGAACCCACGGCTAACTAACTACTAGAGTTTGGGAGTTTTATCCACTCGGCTACCGGAGGGCGATTATTAGAATTAAGAAAGTACCGTTCGGAAATGAAAAACACTGAATTGTTAGATGCGGAAAATTAAATACTTATAAACTTTTCACGGGGTAATATTTTTAATTCCACGCAGGCAAGCGCTATATGTTACCTGTTGCAGTAATCACGTGAATATAATATATATTTATTAAAATTATATCCTTTTTTAAAAATTATATTTATTTTAGCATTTTGTATTAACTTTTTGCTCTNTTAAATTCATAGAATAAATTTGTAATTTTCATAACTGAACATTTCTGAATTATAATTTATGTGAAATCTTCACTCAACCGTGATTGATGTTAGTGTATATGGATGTGCATTTCTTATATTCTACTATTTATAAAATAGAAGAAGTGCACTTCACTAAAAACTTATTAAAACGAACAACTAATTGACGTACTTCTTTTCAAGTTTTTTTTTCAAATATTGGAACAATTCTTTTCCTGTTTATACAACGAAAATCACGTGATCATTAATCAAGTTATTGAGACTGAATGGTTATGTCATTGTATGATTCCGCCTCGGGAAGAAGTTTCCTGCTTCGATATAATTACAGGACATCGCCCTTTTCAGTACCTACAATCACATGCCACCTTTGGCTCTGATTTAAGTTTGATTTGATTTGACTTTTTTCCCCCCCTCATTAAGTATCAATAAATTGAACCACAGAATAGGATTTCGGAAAAATTACTAAATAATTATTACAAATTTATATCCTGTAGTCTCTTACATTCAAAACTATGTATAAAATGTAGAATCTTTTTTTCTCATAACAATCCTTTTTTAAAAATTATATTTATTTTAGCATTTTGTATTAACTTTTTGCTCTAGGCGTAAAACCAGCAAATCGAGGGTAGACATTAATTGTTGTATAGAAATCCAATCGATATTTTGGGACGAAATGTACGACACGATTTAACTTAGAAGTATGTGAATGAAACTGACGAATTTTGTAGCAATTGGGCGAACGGCCTGGGAACGTATAATGAACAAACAAACAAAAAACATCTTGATTTATATATGTATAAATAAATTAGCGGAAAAAGAATAAACATGAATACCATAATAAAGGTTTGATTATTTTAACTTACCGTTGTTTCGTTTATCACCAAGTGTCGAGGTGATGAAATTGGGAGAAGGATGGTTTCTGGGTTTCGTGGTATCGATATATTTTCTTCGGAGACCAGAGAATAAGTATGAAAGCTTTGGAGCAGATCGATCAAAACAACTTAAAACAAATGCAGAGGAACATTCAATTAAACACATAGCTTTACCATGCGTAATTACGGCACGTCTATAAATTGCAAACAACCAAAAACATTTTATTTATTACTATATTCTCGATAGGAATGTCATTTCATCTTTCGTTGCCGCCATTTCGTTTCCACATACAAAGTAGGCTTGGGTAGTTCGTGCGAATTTGCATAAAATCTCTCTTCTTCAATAAAACAACAACAAAAAACTTTCATATTTTATTTAATAAACCTACAGTAGAAGATAATTCTTAAATAAATTTAAACAATTTGATTCACTAATTCAATATTTATAAAAGAATTTTCACAAGGGTGCCAGTTCCACAAGTAATGCCACTTCTTAATCTAGTGTGGCCGTTGCGGGAACCTGGCAAATTTTTCCCGATTAAAGAGGATATAGGACCATACATTATTGTTGTGCCCGTATCTATTATTATTAACGATTAAACGGGTGGAATTCCTGCGCAAAACGAACTTAGGAGCAGCGACTCTCAAACTACCGCGCCCATCAGTGGTCGAATGGACGACGCCACCGAACACCGGTATTGTTCGCCGCTCGCGTGGTTCCGTGTTGTTTAATCACGTGGACTTTTTCGGGTTTTATTCACGTATCTAATATCTAAATAGGAACCAATTTCCTATAGAAAGTCCTTCCGAGAGGCATCTCTTATTGGCAGACGATCCGGACGTCACCTTGCCTTATCCCATTAATCCCACAACTGCATTCATAGAAGCGCTTGTAAGGAGCTAATAGTATAAGGCAATCGGTTTCACTTATACTTAATTTTTTGAAAGGAAAATAAATTCATAAATAGAACAAAACACGAAAAGTTCTTCACGTGCATTGACAACTTTCATTAAAATTTGACAATTGACTCGACAATAACGGCTGCCTGACCCAAAAACGATAAAATTTGCAGAGTTATAATAAAAACATATATATTTTTTATTTTAAAATTTCGAGCCGTTATTGTCGAGTCAATTGTCAAATTTTAATGAAAGTTGTCAATGCACGTGGAAAACTTTCCATATTTTCTATATATTTGCTACGGGATATTTTCCAAATATTCCGTAGCAAAATAAACAAGACAGTCAATTACACATATACATAATTTTAGGAGAGGAAAATAAAATATTAAACAAATTTGTATAATTTGTATAATATAAATTCGTATTCAAATAGAACAAAATATGGCAGGTCTTCCACGTGCTTTGACAAACTTTCACTGAAATTTGACAAGTGAGTTGAGACTAAACAGATGCGCGACCCAAAACGATCAAATTTGGAGAAAAATATATTTTTAATTATAATAAATTTGTGTTAATTATATTTATATATCTTAATAATAATAAAATAAATATAGGAATGCGATTTAAAAAGGAGATTAGAGCCATAGAAGTGAGATTTCTTCTTTGACGAGACTGGCCATCATTATTTTAAATGTGTTTTAATTGGTGTAAATTCACACAAATTTAAAATTAGGTGATTTCGTTTTGTTTAATCGATGGTAAATTAGGTTAATTGATGCGCAGAGAGTAAAAAGAGGTACATTAAAATTATTACGTTAGCGTTTAAATTAAAGCTAAAATGATAATTTATTCATACTTCATAGTCTTACTAATAGCTTAGTGTTGATGGTTAAGACTACACATTCAACCGACTATTTTGCTCTCTTCTACTTTAATTCTTCCATTTTAAGAATGTATATTACACAAGAAAATAATATATTTGTAAATTTCACTTAAAATTAACACCGAAGTAACATAAAAATCTATTCTGTAAACAACTGTTAATTTATTTTCCTCTCATAAAATTAACTATAAGAACAACCGATTGCCTTGTACGATTCTATGAATGAAATTGTAAGATTAATGAAATAAGGAAAGGCGATTGGTGGCCATTTGCCTAAAAGGGATGCCTCCCGGAAAGATTTTCTATGGGAAACTGACGCTTTTTTTAGATGTTAGGCACCAATAGAAAACCCCGAAAACTCCATTTGGACATCGGACGGTCGAAAAAC